CTAAGATTGAATCTATGACTGATTCATCTCCATGCCCACTGCCCAAGGCACGGGGCTTGTATGCAGAAAAACAGTAAGTAAATAATAAATAAGGAAAAAAACCAAAAACATGAACTTCCTGTGTGGGTACAGAATAAAAGAATACAAAAATAGCACTGTTTCAAAGGGTTTTATTTTTGGCGTGTGTGTGTGTAAGGGGTTTTATGAATTACTTTTTATTTGTATAGCACAGAAGTTTACAATTTTTCTTAAAATAGGCTTACATTTCTTAAACAACTCCAGGTACTTTCCACATAAAGAAATAGTGTTCTTAAAACATTATATAAAATGTACAGGAAAGGGCCGAAACTCAGTCTCTAATATTGTCAAGATGAAGAGAGACAAAACTCCTGATCATGAATAGGAGGCATGGAAAAGGTTTATCTTCTCCTTGACTTTCACTTTGGCTGTAGAAAGAGCCTGGACTTTGGAGACGGACCTATGTTCAAATCCTAGACAACCACTCACCCACCTTAGTTAGGTTCCTTCCCTTTTCTGAGCTTGTTTGTTGTTCAGCCGCTGAGTCGTGTCCGACTCTTTGTGACCCCATGGACTGCAGCATGCCAGGCCTCCCTGTCCATCACCAACTCCCAGAGCTTGCTTAAACTCATGTCCATCGAGTCGGTGACGCCATCCAACCATCTCATCCTCTGTTGTCCCCTTCTCCTCCTGCCTTCAGTCTTTCCCAGCATCAGGGTCTTTTCTAATGAGTCAGCTCTTCACATCAGGTGGCCAAAGTATTGGAGCTTCAGCCTCAGCATCAGTCCTTCCAGTGAATATTCAGGGTTGATTTCCTTTAGGATGGACTGGTTTGATCTCCTTGGGATTATTCATGAGCCTGTTTATTTATTTGTAATATTGAAATTGATACCTAACTTGGAGATAGCTGCAAGACTTACTTGAAATAGTAAAGTGACCAAAAAGCATTCCAAAAGTGGTGCTTATAATTACAATTCTAGTTTTTGCTGTTGAAAGTGCTATTTACTATCTTAGGACCTGCCATGTGTAGCTGCAGATGGCAGTGACATGCATGGCAGACGGAAGAAGGGCGTCTGGATGCTTTTGAAATTCCCTTGAAAACCCAACCTGGGAGGCTGGATGGTGAGGGAATCAGAATCAGAATCTGCTCTGAAGCTCATGGTGCTCAGCATCTCATTGGCATGTATGGGGCACAATTATACAATCAGGCCTTTTAGGAATTCCAGTGATGTGGAAATGTATAAACTATAGGTTAGGACTGAGCTGACAGTGACCGTACGGCACCCATACTTCTAACTTCACATTAAAATAGTAAGACACACAGCTTCCTCCTCAGGGCATTCAGAAGACACTAGGATTGGCAGCTCTTGAAATTCAAAGTGCAGCCCTCTCCTGAGTCCTTCTGACGCATCCCAACTCACTCTGCTGACCAAACTTATCTCGTTTCCCTTTTATTGATTAATTAATTTAGTAAAAACTTGCTAAGCACCAGCTCTGCGCCAGGCACTGTTTGACACTGAGTATATATTAACAAACCAAGCAAACACACTTCCTCCTTCTACCGAGTGCCCAACCAGTGAGCAGGAGATGCGCATAAACAGGCAGTCTCAATGCAGAGATTTGGATGGGGAAAACCCAGGGTGCTGCTAAATGCTAAACAACAAGCTCTTGGGTAGGATTGGAGGGTGGGGTAAGTCAGGAAGAAGGGAAGCTCTGGTCTCTGCAGCCTTTGCTGATTTCCCTGGTGTAAATAACCCCACCAAGGTTGATTTCAGGTTACCAGTATGACATCACTGAATGTGAAGCTGGGAAGTGATGGGGAACAGCACAGTATTTATTTATTTATTATTATTATTTTTTAGCACAGTATTTATAGTAGTATGTTTACCATATAGATAAATAGCTAAAAACAAAATCCTTGAGAGCATAGATAGATCATAGTTGTTGCTTAGTTGCTAAGTTGTATCTGACTCTTTTGTGACGCCATGGACCGTAGCCCCCCATGCTCCTCTGACCAAGGGGTTTCCCGGGCAAGAACACTGGAGTGGGTAGCCAGTTCCTTCTCTAGGGGATCTTCCCAACCCAGGGATCAAACCAGCAGGGGATGAAACCCTGGTCTCCTGCAGGGCAGGCAGATTCTTTACCACTGAGCTATCAAGGAAGCCTATAGATCATAGGAGAGTAAAATAATTAGGAAGTGACAGATTCTGAGACATCACCTTTATGATTTTTTAATAATAACCATATAAACATTAATTTTTATTGAAGACTGTGTTTAACAGCTAGCAGTAAAAATTCCTGGAAACTTAACAAGCAGCTCTTGTAAGCCAGTTCAAGTTGGCTCCGGCACACCACCAAAGGCACCCAGGCTGAAGCAAATAACAGGCTCCTTCTTTTCTGCAGACTTGGTTTCCCCCAGCCTCCACGTCTTCACTTAGTCTGCGCCCTCTGCGAAAGATGCCATCCCATTTCTACCCCCATCCTTACTCTTCACGGCCTTCCCCCGAGGGAAGCTGTTCACTCTGCCTGGCTTCCTTTCCCCTCTTCTGTCCATCCACTGGTTACAGAGGGAGTGGCCAGTTTGGGGCAGTTTGATCCCACCACTCGGCTAGAGTCAGCTGGATAAAGGGTAGGCATCTGACCCAAGTTGGCATGTGGGCCACAGTGAGTCCCGCTCACTGCTGGTAAAACTCACTTTGTGGAAAGCAGAGGTTCCTTTCTGATGTGAGGCAGAGCAGCGAAGCGGATGGGGAGATACGAAGGATGGAGTGACAGTCCTTGCTGGGTTTCCTTAGTGCTCAGGCCCCGCTTCCAGTCTGACCCCGAGGCCCGGGGGCCTTTGGAGCGTTCCAGGATCTCCTGAGAGCTTCTTCAATTCTCCCTTTGCACAAAATCTCCACTCAGGCTTTGCTTCTAGGAACCTGATACAAGGCATTCACTGCTCAAAAAGCAGCTGTGTTGGGCTTCCCTGGTGGCTCAGTGGTTAAGAATCTGCCTGCCAATGAAGGAGACACAGGTTCGATCCCTGGTCCGGGAAGATCCCTCACGCTGCAGAGCAACTAAGCCCGTGCGCCACAGCTACTGAGCCTGAGCTCTTAGAGCCGAGGAGCCGCGAGTCCGGAGGCGGGAGCACCCTCGAGCCCGTGCTCCGCAGCAAGAGAAGCCTCCACAATGAGAAGCCCTCACACTGCAACGAGAGAAAAGCCCAAGCAGCAGCGGAAGACCCAGCACACTGAAAATAAACAAATAAAATTATGTAAAAAAGAGTCTTGTCTTAATGAGTTGGCCTTCACAGATGGCTGGTCCTCACAGGCCCAGTTAATTAGCCATGATTGTTCTGTTCCAAACTGTAATTCCACATTCTGATAGTCTAGCTCGGCGGTGGGGTCGCTCCTAATGGTGTCAATGCGTCTGGAGTGGGCTAGGAGTTAAGATGAAATCACGGGGCCCAAGTAAAGGCCACCCCTGTGGGTGGGGAAAGGCAGTCTCAGAAGAGGGAACAGGTGCCCCCAAGCTGTCTATTGCATGGCCGGGGTGTGGCTTTGTCCTCACTCCCAGGAAAGAAGTGGTCTTCTGACAAAAGACGTCAAAGTGCTTCCATGAGAGGAGAATCATGTCAGCAAGAACAAGAAGACATTCACTCTGAAGGTGAGATGTGGGGCAAATAATCTTTACCGACCTCTAGACCTACAGGGCAGTGCACAAAAAAGGGGTGCAAAAGGAGTCTAGAAAGAAATGAGAAGAAGGCAACGAGAGAGGATATCTACACATCCACGCCAGGCAGACCTGACCCCCACTGAAGGGTCATCCAAGATACATCCTGATCAGCTGTGAAACACACATTGTCCTGTTGATGTACATAGAGGAAAGTGCTAGGGATTTGCTTGGCCCTCTGGTGTCATACTGGCTGTCACTATTGTTGTCATAATCCTTATTTTAAATTATTTCCCATGAGAGCCTAGACGTATGGGCTTCTCCAGTACCAAATGGAGTCACCAGAGGGTTCTGTGGGCAAGCCTCTCTGCTTTCTTGGCCTCAGTTTCCCCACTTTTAAAATGAGGGGTGGGACTAGATGTTCCCCAACGTCGCCTCCCTCCCAACATCATACTTTCCAGTTCTCTGGACACTCAGACTCAGAGGTTTCCCTCTCTTTGCCCGAGAGAAGTTGCTGGGGTTGGAAATGGCACGTTCGATAATTCCAGGTCATGTCTGTGCCAGGGGCTGTAATCAGAGAGCTGAGAGCTGAACAGTCTGTGTTTATGCCTTTCTCCCCACCTGTCCCACAGGCCGCCTCCAGAAAAAGCAGGCGGTGGGGAGTGAGAGAGCAGGAGACGTCCTGCGGGTGAGCCGAGGCACCTTGCTTCACTTCTCAGAGGAAGTGGAACTGGACAGTTTCCCAAGCCAGCTGGGAGGAGCAGCAGAGTAAGACAGAGGACGCTGAGCAGAGGAGAGGGGGCCAAGCCCCTGATGCGCCAGTGTCGTCGGTGTGAGCTGCTTAACCCTCCCGGTGCCTGGGACTCCTCTTCTGAAAACTGCGCGCGGGGATGCCCACCTCGGGCGGCGGCGGAGTGTGCGGGGAGTGTGCGGGGGAGGGGGAGGATCAAGCAGGCAAGGAGGTGAGGATGACGATTGGGAGCATTCGGGAACCCCAGAGCATGGCCCAAGCATTCAAGAAATGGTTCCTGTCATCACTAGGGATGTAGAAAGCCGTTGTGGCAGGGGAAGAACCAGGCTGGGAATCTCTAGGTCCTGTGGCTTCCCTGGCTGCTACTTAATGGAAAAACCAGGAAGTGAGGCTGTGCCCTTAGCCTCTCTGCTACTTAAATAACACCAGATTCTCTGTCTGATTCCCAGCACCCAGCAGTTACTGACTTTGTATATTTCTCTTGTGCTGGAGGGAGATTTGCCCAGCTGAACATGGGGCCGCTCCCAGCACCTAGGCTGGGAATGGACACCTCAGTCCTCTGGTCTCATCTCCTGTAATGTGGGTCTCCCAACCTGGAGTCACAGGGCAGCTCAAGAGACAGGGAGTTCACATGTGCAGCAAGACTGTCAGAGGCTGTTCTATGCCCTCTTCCATTGTAAATGCGTGCCTGCTCAATTGCTCAGTCGTTTCCGACTCTTGTGACTCCATGGACTGGGGCCTGCCTGGCTCCTCTGTCCATGGGATTTTCCCTGCAAGAATACTAGAGTGGGTTGCCATTCCCTTCTCCAGGGGATCTCCCCCCCACCCCCGCCCCCCAGGGATCAAATCTGTGTCTCTTATGTCTCCTGCATTGGCAGGTGGATTCTTTACCACCGAACCACCTGGGAATCCCTTATCCATCACACTGGCTCTTTCTCAAATGCAAGAGATGCTACTGCGATAAATAAAATACTACATTTGTTTAGAAGTGACCTTGCATTCATCTTTTTGACAATGTGGATTTGCTGTCACCTAAAATAATATCTGCCATCACACTAATAAAACCTTCCATTTACAGAGAACTCACAGTACCTGATATGGTGTTAAGAGACTTTCTGTCATTAAGTCTTCCCAACAGACACATGAAGACGAAATTATGATGCCCATTTTACAGATAAGGAAATTGACACTTCGATACCTTAGGTCACTTGCCCAAAGTTTCAGGACTAGCAGGTGTCAAGGGGTCAAGCCCAGGTGGTCTGACTCCAAAGCCCCAGCTTAACATTTTAAGGACAGGCCTGCGCTTTGGCATTTCGTGTATTTCTCGTTTCTGAAGGCAACCGGGACTCATTCTGCTCCTTTGTTCCCTTCAGGGTCGCTCCCTGATGCCCACCCTCCGCTTCTGCTTTTGTGGACTGCCCAGGTCATCCTCTGAGGCCTTTGCCTCCTGGAGCCCAGCCGCTCCCAGAGCTGAATCTCATCCCGCAGGCTGCCCATCCCAACTGAGCTCTTTCGCCCCGGCCAGCCCCAGGCGCCCCGCGAGTCTCCTCCCCTCCTCCCAGGCCCCTGTCGATCTCCCCTCGGCGCTCCGGGCCTCAGTTTCCTCCCGTGTGAAGCAGGTAGCCCGATCCTTTCCTTAGGCAAATGGCACGTCCAGGCCAGTCCGGAGCCGCAGTCGCCGTCCTCCCGGCCGCCTGTGGGCGGGGCCGGCGCTCCTCCCCTCGCCCCCCCCCCCCCCCCCCGCGCCCGGCGGCCCCGCCCCGAGGGCGGCCCCCGCCCGCGCCCTGCCCACCCCGCCCCGCGCCCACGGCGCCCCAACCCCGCCGCCCGGAGCCAGCTGAGCACAGCTGGACCCAGCAGCCGCCGTCGCCAGCGCCTCAGCCGCAGGTAGGCGAGGGGAGCGACCACGACCCCGGGGCACCCGGGGATCCCGGGCTTCTGGGTCCTTTCTCCCTCCTCGCGCGGGCCGAGCTCGCCCGCACCTGGAGCTCGGCCCAGCAGCCCGGGACATCGCGGAAAAAGGGCTCCCCACCCCCCTCACCTTGAGGGTCTTCCGGGAGCCGGGGAGAGTTGGGGGGCTCGGGTAGGGAGTCAGGCCTCCACCCACAGGCCCCGTGTTGCACTCGAGCTGACTTTGACCCGCTGCGCGCCGGTGGGGTGCGTGGGCCCGGGGTAGCCCCGCACTCGCCGGCAGGTGGTCTCCAGCTTGCAGCGGTTTGGGCGGCGGCACCGCCCGGGAGTCTGCCTCGCGCATCTCCAGGGTTAATGCCTTTGCCTGCGCTCCCCTGGCGATGAGGCCCGCCCCCCCCGCCCCAACCTCCTTCCTCTTTCTGGGCCCAGGACTGTTAGAAAGCTCTTCCTCTTACTGGTCTGGAATCGGCTTGCTTCTGCTACCTGTCGGCGCTGTCCGTCCCTCCGCCCTGCAGAGCACGGGCCCTTCCCTGACTCAGACGGAAACTCAGAGCTGAGGACAGGGATTGGAACCAGCCTTTCTCCCTGGGGCCCCGTCTCTGCTTGGGTCCAGACGCCTCAGAATCTGAATACAGCGTGTCCCCTGGCCGGGCGCAGCCCGCCTGCTCTCGGCAGTGGCCAAGAGCAAGGCCCCGGGCCGAGGAGGCTGGCGGGGCTGCTGGGAGCTTCAGCCTCAGACACCCAAACATCCGCCCTTTATCCCGCCCTCACATATAACTCAAAACAGAGAGGACAGCTTTGCGACACCCAGAACTCAGGAGAGCCGGACAATCAGGGTGCCCTGGGGGTGGCTGCTTGTGGTGGAGGCCAGGGCCTCCGGGGACTTTTCTGAGGCGTGAGCCTCGGGTCCTGCTCTCCCAGGACCGGTGGGCTCTCCTAGAGCCCTGTGAACTCTTGCTGCACTGGATTTACAGTGATCACAGCTTGATGGAATCTCACCAGCATGGTTCCACAGTTGAGAAAGCTGCAGGGCCCTGAGAGCGGGTGAGGCGCTGATACTCACACAGTGAGGAAGGGGCAGGCCTGGGCCCCAGGGCCATCTGCACTTGGCTGACTTTTAGCTCCTGGGGTTTTAGACTCTTCTTGAGTCTCGAGTTCCATTCACTAAGACCCTGAGCACTGCGCGCGTACACGCACACACACACGCACACACACACACCTCCAAGACACACTCACACTGTGGAGTGCTGCTTGATGTTTCTTGGGGATGTTAATTAAGGGGAAGAGGCTTGGAACGGAGGAGGAAGGTTGGGAGCGGGACCGTCAGCTTCCAGTTCCCTTGAAACTCTGTTTTCCTTCTTGGGGCCTCACTATTTATAAATGCCAGGGCAATCGTAAACAGCCGGGGGAGCTTGAATTGGCACCCGGGTGAGTTTCACAGCAAAAAAGGTTTCCATGTGAATCTGGGGAAGGAACTTTACTCCAGAATTTTCCATAGACTTTTTTTTTATTGGGGACGGACATGAATTTGGAAAAGCAGGCATCTCCCAGGAGGGGTTTCCTTCCTTCCCTTCTTCCTTGATTCAGCACTCTTCAGGGCCTGTGTTCAGTGTCTTGCCCTGTGAGGGCCCAAGAGCCTTGAGGAAGGCAAAGATATTTGTCCTCAAGATGCTTCTCATCTATAGAGGTCGGAACAAGCTGCAATACTGAGAATTAACTTTAGCCTCTAAAGGGGTGACTAAGTCTGTTTGGGTCACCCAGACCTCAGAAATGAGTAATAGTTGCCCAGGAGATAAAGTGATGGGCAGTAAGATGTGCTAAGAGGCAGGAACAGCTCCTGCAAAGGCGCTGGGGTTTTCTGAGCAGTCCACATGGTGAGGATGGCAGATGAGGGAAAGATGGAGTGGTGGGAGTTGAGGCTGAAAATCAAGAGTCTTGGAACTAGATTGTCAACTCAGGGCTGGGACTTCAGCCTGAGGGCAGTGATCACAGCTCTCAGCAATCTGATGGCTGATGTAGCAGATGCACTGGAAGGGGCTACACTGAAGGTACAGCGACTCCTTAGAAGGCTACTGGATGGTCAAGTGAAAGAGAGTGCAGGTCTGGACCAGACCAATGGCCACGGGATGGACCAGAGTGGAATCCCAGCTGAAGAACCCATCAGAACTGGCAGTAAATTTTATCTAAAAGCAAGCAGTGGGCTTATAGCTATGGGACAAGGTTGCCAAGTTATTCTGAGATTTTCAGTATTGAGTTTTACTTTTAAAGCAAAGAAATATTGTTAGAGAGTCAAGCCTTGCGGTGTGACACAGGGAGGTCAAATCCGGGGCTCTGTGACAACCTGGAGGGGGGGCTGGGGCGGGAGGTGGGAGGGAGGTTCGGGAGGGAGGGGCATGCGTGCACCTGTGGGCGATACATGTTGATGTCTGGCAAGAAAACAACACAGTACTGTAAAACAGTTATCCTCCGATTGAAAATAAACTCTAAAAAAAAAAGATTCAAGCCTAGAGGAGAGTATAGAGTAAGCCTCATCCCTCTAACCCCCTTCTCGCCCCAGGGGTGGCCCCTGCTGACCCCTGTGTGTGCAGGTCTGGGGAACTGCCACAAGCAAGAGCTGAAGACTGGATGCTGTCACACTTCTTAGCCATCCAGTGCCAGAGGGTCCCTTCTCCCCACGCCATGTGGGCAGTTTGGCCTCTGGTGAGACGTCGTCAGGTCACAGAGACAATTTCTGCGGTCTGTCATCCCCTGCTGGAGTGCTGGTCTCTGGTTTTCTTCAAGAGAACTTTACAGCCCGTATCTAGTCTCTGAGCGTGCATATTAGTTACTAGAGATGGCAGAACTGAGAGGAGTTAGATGCACTGACTTAGGAATGGAGCTGTAATCTGAGTTCTTCTGAGTGACTTTGGGCAAGTCCCGGCTCACGGGGCCTCAGTGTCCTCATCTGTAAGATGGGGGGATGTCTCCATGATATTGGTCTCTATGATAAAAAGCTACCTTTCAGTAAACCAAGCGCTGGGGCATTAATTACTTTGTTGGTTCTTCAAAATCATGTCTCTGAGTTAGGTCCTGTTATTTGCTTTTATAGAGGAGGTAACTGAGGCTCAGAGAGGCTAAGGAATGTACTTTGGCTTGTGAGGCAGTTAGGTGTCAGTGCTAGGATTCTGGAGGTCTGACTGTAGGGCTATAGCTCTTAATCACTGCCTTAAATGTTCTACTGGAGGAGCCATCTAGTCCTGACATTATGAGAACTGAAGGTCGAGTTTTGCTGGGGCCGTGATGAGGGATGCTAATCAGTATGCGTGGCGTGGGGAGCTTAGGCCTGAGGGGCCTCTCAGGACTGTTGGTAAACTCACGCTTTTCTGTACTGTCTACAGGACTTCAGAGTGTAGGTCCATCTTTCCTCCGTTTCAGGAAATCCAGGCTCTGAGAGAACAAAGGCTTGCCCAGGTTCACTCCGAGAGGTAGCTGGGGGCCCAGCCTGCTTTCACCGTTGGGACCCCTGCTCAGGAAAGCTTTCTGAGGAAGCCAGGAAGAATGGGCAGCATCTCCCTCCACCCCCGCCCCTCCCATGGTTATTTCCTGAGAAAATGCAGGCAGAAGCGGGGAGAACCTGGTCCCAGGAGCCATGTATTTTGTGGGGGAGGGAAAGAAAGAGGCCAGTGTTCAGGCAGCTGGGGGATGTTAAGTAAAAATATCTCCTCCCTTTCAACCTAGCGAGCGTGTGTCGTATTTCAGCCTGATGTGGTCTGTGAGTTTGCAGACCACAGGCAGGCTGGGTTCCTGCCGCTCTCGGGCTTTTCCTCCCCACCCCCACCCGCTGCTGCCACGGACTGCTCTCCCCTGCCCTGCCCAGGACCACATCAGCAATTTAAGGGCAGGGCAGAGAACAGCGGTGGGTGTGATGGGCAAGGCTGGACAGCAGAAGGCCTGGGCTTGAGTCCTGGTTTTACCACTTGACAAAATACTGGGTGACCTGAGCTAGTCCGTGCCTTCCGCTGTTCCCCCGTGTTCATCTGGCGTTAGGCGGGCGGGCAGAATAAAGTCACGACGCTTTCCCAGCTCTGGGGGCCTCTGAGTCGGAGGGCTTTGTGCTCCCTGCAGGGTCATGGGACCTGCACCTCTCTAAGCATAACGTGAGCCCACAGCTGTCACCCTTGTTTGAGTGACTTGCACCAGCATCGGCTGGAGATTCAGCTACTGTTTATAAATTGGGTCTCTGCGCATCCAGCTGGTTGGCCATTTTACAGATAAGGCAGTTGAGGCCTAGGATGCATGCATGTATCCCATTCTCCTGTTCTACAAGCAGTAAGGGCGAGGACCCCTGTCTGTGGCGTTCCTACTGTCTGTGTTCACTTTTCATCTTTATCACCTAGTTTAATCTTTTTAACAGCTCTATAGGGAGGAGGTAATTTACTCAGTTTTACAGATAAGGAACTCACTTAGCTTGTAGCTCAGTCAGTAAAGAATCTGCCTGCAATGCAGGAGACCCGGGTTCGATCCCTGGGTGGGGAAGATCCCCCGGAGAAGGGAATGGCAGCCCACTCCAGTGTCCTTGCCTGGAAAAGCTCATGGACAGAGGAGCCTGGTGGGCTGCAGTCCATGTGGTCGCAGAGAGTCAGGCACGACTGAGCGACCAACACTTAGTCACAGATAAGGAAACTGAGGCTCAGCCCAGAGAAATGAAATGCCTTACTTTCTCTTTTTTTGAGCCTCACAGTAGCCCTGAGGTTGCTATGGGCCCCATTTTACAGGTGAGGAAACTGAGGTCTGGAGATGTGAGTGTTCATGCCCGGGGTCCCCAGGGACCACGTAGCCAGCTAGGTTCTTTCCCAGGCCCCCCATCCTGCGGCTTTCTGGTGCCTTGCTGGTTCTGTCTCAGGGCGAGCCTCTGCACCTCTTGATTTCAATGCTTGGACTCAGGATGAACAGTTTTCTTCCTAGGCTGTAACGTATCCCTGAAATGTGCTCTTCCCAAGGGGGACTCCAGAGGCAATTTCAGCCATGGAGCTTCTCAGGGAACTGGGATAAGCTGCCACACCAGTGGGAGGGGATTTATTTATTCTGCTGAACTGGTTAAGCAAACAGCCTTCTTTTTTTCCAACTTCAGCAAGGATATCATTTGATCCCAGCTTATTTGTCAAACAAAGAATATATACACAGTATATGTGGGCCTTCAGGGCGGGGCTTGGCCCTTAGTTTTCCTTCTTTAGTGGCTGTGGCAGGGCTGGGCCCTTGGTGGGTACTCAGTAAATGCTGGTTATTTTCGGAGGAGTGGCAGAGTGGTGTGGGTGGGATACCCGTAGGATATGTCTTTTTTCTTATTCCCCTCCTCCAATGACT